CAATTTAAGCACTAATAGAGCAAAAAGCCTTACTGCTCTTCAGTCTCATGAATGCTAGTCTGAATGCTTGGAGAGCTGGTCTTCACTGTCCTCCAAGAGCTGCTGCAACTGAAAAAGAACAAACAAGGTGTTAACTGCTTTTCTAATGAGTGCATACAACTTCCTTCAAAGATAGGCAGGCACAGATGAAACAGACTGCCTGCACAAAAATCATGATTTTATTTCTGCACTGAAAAGACACCATTTGTTTACAACGCTGGAATTCCCTAAAGAGATTTACACCACGTAATGCTTATGAGACTACAGTTACTAACCTAAATATTTTTTCCTGGCAGCCTCTTTTTAAGAAATGAACCTCACCAAAAAGAGGTAAGGGAAAATTTACCAGATAGATGTGTCATAGGGTGGACAGCTTTCGAAGAATAATCTGCAAAATTACCATGCTGAAATTCCTCCCTGAATAACATGCAAGAAAGGTACTGAGCATTCAAAACCTGCTCTCAAGAATCTGCATTAAAATCCAGATGAGAACACACAAGTCTGTTTTACTACACAGAAGTCATCACTTAAATGATTCACTGTCTGTGTGTTCAGAAAAGCCATCAAGCAACTGGACCCAAACAGAGAATAATGCTACCACTTCCAGTTCATCAGCCCCAAAGCAAGATAACTAGCATTCAAGATTATTGTACATACAAGGACAGAGTGAAGTTAATATTGCAAGTGAAAAATAGATACTCTGAGAACTGTGGTTACAAAAGGGATATTCTGCATCAGTACACCGATGTCACTTGTTCTTACAGATGGCAGGAGTGGAGCACATTAAGTAGATCTCCCAAGGCAGATGACTTAGAAAGAAAGAATGAACACTTAATATTTTTGGCAACACCAATCTCTTTCAGGTCAAATGCGCCATTCCACAGAAAGAAAGCAGCTAAGCATGAAATATGTGTTAGGTGCACCTGAGCAGAAAATCTGCCCAGTGTTCACTGGTGTGTAAGAAACAAGCAGGTCATGTTAGATAATAACTCCTTGGCTTGGAACTACATTTTGAACTTTGCTGAGGGCAAAAACAACTGTCTCAGACTGCTTGATTGCACTTACTAGTTCGTATGGACTTGATAGGCAATATGTACAGTGACAAATTAATAAACAATTTCAATTTAATAAATTAACAACATAAACCAAGATTAAGTAATTTAATTTTCTTCTGAAAGCATATAGCAGTCTGTTGTGGTTTAGCCCAGCAGGTGGCTAAAGCACCACAGCCCTCCGCTCAATCCCCCGCCTTCCCAGTGGGAACCAAAGAACATTTAACTGCTGAGAACTCACAGCTTTTGTGCTTTATAGAGTTTTTCAGGGCTGATAGAAACTTATACAGTGCTTTCAAACTGTCAGGAGCACATCTGAATCACTGCACCAAAATAAGACGACTTCATTTGTTTTAAAATAGTTGCCATCTTTGAGAAAACAGGAGCACTTTGGAGGCATCATTTATTCAGGATCAAGAAGCAAAGCTATAAAAGGAACAAAAAAAACAACATCTTCAGTTTGCTGACAGACACTGTGTGTTCCAGAGCAGCTTAACCTGCCCTCCAAAAATTTAGTCAGTTCTTTTTGTCTACAGAAGTTATTTTAAGAAACAAAGAAAACAACAATAACTGAAATAAATAAATAAAGACAACTTATTAACTGACTTGTACCAATTCCCATACAGAATGCAGCTCTTCTCTCAAATTTTCAGAGAGGCTTTGATATGTGGCCACATGCACAGCTTCTTGTACATCCCAGTAGTCCTTTCTGGCTTCTCTATTTGACAACTCAAGAACTACACAATGTATTCAGTTATTATTTGCAGTATTGGTACCACAGCCCCATTTTTCTCTATCCTGTCAAAGCACGTGTTCACTGGTGCAAAAACATCAGCTGCCACATGTTAAATACTTTTCCTGATTTTCAGTTGCAATGTCTAACACGTCATCATCTACAAAAAGCTTATCTTAATGGTATCAACATTCTCAAAAATTACTTCAAATATTCTCTAAGATGCAACTCAAAAGGTGAAAGCATTCCCCTAGTACATAAATCTCTTTAATTTTCAACAAAACAAAGTTTTGCTGCGACTAAAAAATTACTGCAAAAAATCTTGGAATGAGTATTGATTGGGGGCACACAGCAGAGCCTCCACTCAGTGAACTCACTAAAAGTCACATCCCCACTTCTACTATTACTTACTCATGAAGATGCACAAAACACTTTACTGATTATGATTACAGAACACCTGAACATTTTTCAGTAGACAACAGCAATAAAATTCTACAAATGTACTTCAATTATTACACATCCGTTTTTATTTGGGCATGAAATCACTCAACTCCCCATTCCATCAAAGCAGCCAACCTTCTAGAGAAGCACATTTTCTAGTTAACTCAACCACCACACAATTAAGACACAAAAGGCCCCTCTGGTGCCAGCAGTGTCATCTCCTGCCAACCCCAGCACTCCAACACCTCCTCCAGCAGTCACCAAAGGTATCAGTTCCACAATATGGACTGTTTTGGTATACACCCATTGCCTCTTGTCACACCATTAGGCCTAAGAGAAGCCTGGCTCAGTCATCTTTCCATCCTCCTTTTACATTCATTGATGAAATGATCCTTGAGCCTCCTCCTCTCCAGGTTAAGTGGCCCATCTCCCAGACTTCCATCACAAAAGAGATGCTCTTCTCAGCTCCCTACATTTATAACCCTACCTCCACACACATGTGGGCATGATCTCTCTGCACAATAATTATTTCCCTACAATTATTTCACTGCTTGTTCTCCATTGTGAATAAAAGCACAAAGTTTTCAGAGAAGACACTTTTGGAGCTGATACTAGATCCCCCACCACATTTGCAATAGCATATTTACAAGTTGTACAGTTGTTGATTTACCATACATTTCTGTAAATACTTGTCTTTACATTAATCTCTAGAAAGTGATTCTTTAATCACCTTAATCAATTCCTTAGAGCTCGGGGAGGTTACCTAGTATGAATACCACCCCATAAGAAACAACTCTGTACATTCACATTAAACACACTTTTGCAAATTGCCCGTAAGAAACAGAAATAGAAGGAATTTCTTCTTAAAAAACTACACTATATTCTTGTAGATATTAAGCATATGTAATTTATAATCTGAATTCAAGGAGGGTGCCTTATTCTTTTATAAATTAACTAGATTTTCAAATGAAAGACAGTTGTTGCTTTGATAATGATAATACTTAAGAAAAAAAAAGTGGAAAAACAGCAGATTCAGAGCTCTCTGAAGCTGTCAGTGCAACAAAGGATACAATAAACATTAGGTTAGCAAGGAGCATGTCTTTTTTTGCAGATGCATACTTTCTTCATCCAGCAAAGGTTTCTGGCCTAGCCCAAGGAATGGGTTAATCTGATAAAGTGGTTTAAACACCTGTTCAAGCACCACTTAAGCAGAGTTTAGGCATTATGGTTTTTTTAGGAGTTTCTTTGTTGTTAATAAATCTTGTGCTATTTGGGGGAAATGTTTAAGCAAACCAAAAAAGCCACTCAGTATTGAAAAAAGAACCTCCCCATAGGTTTAAAGGACAACCAGAAAAAACTTTTACCCTGCACGCAAGGCCACAGTTATTTCCTCAGCTTAGAGATGGGAATTTGGACCTCAAACAACCACAGCTCGTGTTTGTATAGGCACAAGCCATCTCTCATGGCCTCATTTCGCTCCCACTGACGATGACAAACCCCTCCTTCACCAAAGGGAAAGCGGGGCTGCAATTATGGGCAACGTTAAAGGTCACCAAGAAATTTAGCACGCTCATTCGACCACCTGACCAGTCACAAAACAGTCTTGCTGGCCTGAAATACAAACAAGCAGCACTTTTTTGTAAAGGGAGCTAAATGTTTTTCTCCCTAAGATTCCTTCTGGATCTTGCGCTCTTAAAAACTGAGAAGATTCTGAGATGAGACAGTGCTCTTTGACTGTGAAAGATCACATAAGCGCATTCTTGTAACAGCTAAACATTATTACACATGAAATGTATACACACCTCTTATAAGGAAAATATTCAGCCCTCTTTTACTGCTACTGATATCACAGAATAACAACAGGCCAAGTAGACTGTCTTGTTTAGTTTTTTTTTTTACTGTGTTCTGTATTACTGTTGGTGTGAATTGCTGACCAAAAACCAGGCAATTAATTGCAACAAGCATTAACCACACTAGGCAAGCAACACAAATGAAGCCAATAAAGCAAGCAATATAATGCTTGTTTTTCATTACAGTATCCCTAGAAATTAAAATCGTACCCCAAGAAAAACAATGCATTTCATGGTGCTCTTAAATTCAAACAGGCTCCTAAAGGCAAGCTTTTAAACCATCAGGAAAAGAATTATTACACTTCCATTTTAAATTTGTAACTATTTAAAGAACATCTGCAATATGTAGTTACCTTCATCTGTATCTTCCTCTGCCCAGTACAATCTGTTTTTTGCTGCACTCAAAAGAAAATACTTGAAATTTCATTTATGATAATATCAGTATTTATACTTATTATGAAGACATACGCAGGTCTAGAGAGTGTCCTTCAAAATAGGTAGACAATTTAAAAACTCATTTCAAACAACACCTCTCATTGAGCTCTGAAGGAATATTCATAACCATTTCAAAAGATTACCACAAGCGACAGTAGGTTTGTTTCATATAAACACTGTACACTTAATTTAATATAAAAATAGATTATTTTTAATAAAAGTACATAATACACTACAAACAGCTATGAAAGCACTGTTACAGAGGTAAACAAAAGTCTACGTTAATATTTCAAGTGATTGCATAGAGTTTCTTCATGCAACAGTCTAAACTGTAACATTGGTCATGAAATGGACCCAGTAAAACCGGGTCATTTCCTTTCTTCACACTCACATTTATACTCACTTGAAAGGGAAAAAAAATGTGTTATCACTGATATTGGTTCAAGTTGTTTTACTTTAAGTGGGCTACCAGAATCAGCGCCTTGCTGAAGAGACTGGGAATCCCATGCCATTCTTTTCAAAGCATTGTTGCAGTATCTTTCTGTATTTCAGATTGGCAGCGTATTAGTTTGCGTGTTAGCAGAATTTGATTTGTCAGACCCAAGAGATGAAATACGATCCGAGTTTGACCTCAGTTGGTCTCTACTGCAAACTATAGTGCTGTTTTTTACATTGAGATTCTTGACATTGCCATTAGTGAGTTCTCTCCAAGTACCACCAAAATTTTCATGTCCTTCACAGTACACACTCTGCCTGTGTTAATTAGTAGTGGGCTCTTCTTCAGGATACACTGCAGACTTATCAGAACCATCCAGATGCAAGCTTCCACTCGCAGAACTCCATTCACTGCAGCTTCCTTCATCCCTCTCAGGAGTTCTGGGAAAATCAAAGTCCTGAATTCTTTCATACGTAGTTTGCCAGGTCCCACGTGAGAGGATACATTTATCATCTTTCAAGGTTTTTCTTTCATTTTTACTCTTAAGCACGTGATGAGCTGACCCTGAGATGGCAGGGCCATTTTTAAGTCTGGCTGTATCTACATTTTCTAACTGTCCTTGACAAGCAAATGAAGGGACATTTGGATTTGCAAAATTACTAGCTGCACACAAAAGTTCTTTGTCTATGTTTACAATGGGGCTGCATTTTTCTTCTATATTTGGAAGAATCTTTGACAGTCCATCGCTTTCAGCATTAACAAGACGTTTATAGATATTCCTATTCTGAAGATGTGAAGTATCTGTTTCATGAAGCGTATGTTGTGTCTCAGTTTGTCTTGCATCAAATTGTTGTCTCAAGTCACGTGGAATGTATTTCTGAACAACTTTATCGTTAGCTTTTTCAGGTGTATTTTTGCCACAAGATTTGCTTTCCATATGGTTTGGCCTAGTTTGAGACAGGCAATCTCTTTTTGAGTATTCTACTCCAGTTGGCAGGTCAGAATTTAAGAGCAGAGCTAGAACAGTAGAGAAGGAAATGGATCAAATAAAAGAAAAATTAACAATGGAAGATTAAAAAAAATAATAATAAATGAGGGAGGGGGTATTGGCCCTTTTAAAATATAGATCAAACAGCATTCTCAAAATAAGCAGCCTATGCTTACGTATCCATTCACAAGCTCATAAATACTTTGTGCCTCCCTAAACACCTGAATTTTAATTACTATGCACATTACATCTACGCGGTTAAGAAGAAAATAGACAAATAATCCAACATACCTGAGCAGGTAGTTTTGCACTGCAATGTGTGTCGAAGAGGTGTTTCAAGTCCTTTAGCCATTGTAACAAGCTTGCTGGCAGCATTCATTATTTTCTTTTCAGCTCTGCCGATAACCAGAGAACATGAAAAAAAAATTAAAGATCTCCAGACTCTGCATTTTACATAAAAGTAACAACAGCAAAAGTCAAAGAATACTGAGAAGACAAGGTGTCAGACAGCTCAGCAATTCTCTGCCATCAATCTCAGCAGTGACTCCACACCTATCTCATCAGATCAGGCCTGACTACCGCTTGCGCCAACATAGGATGAACAGTGCTATTGGACAAACAATGCTATACTCAAGTTGACACGATTCTTTCAAAATCAAAGATATCCAGTCATGCTGGAGCTTACCCTTCCTGTTTCCCATTATCAGTAAGAAGCTGTTGAAGACATGTCAAGTAGTACTTCCGCATTTTCCGTGCTGTCTCCTGGCGCTCTCTTAGAACCTCTGACTTAATCATTGCAGCAGCTCTCTCCTTACTTTCACGGATATAACACAGCATATCACCTACAGAAACATACTGCATTAGGTACAGCTCTGCCACAGAGGGGAGAGAAAGAAAAACACCACAAAAAGGACTGCTGAGTAGACCTGCAGTGAGGGCCAACATTTACCAGCCAACCTCCTGCCCAAATCCACAACCTGCTGTGGTCCACAGGCTTCACATTGCTGAAAGACCCAGAGCCAGCCTCTACAAAGCATCGGACACAACAACCTAATTGGCTCACCCTCCACCTCCATCTGCATTTAGCTCATGGAAAACACAAGGTGCAGGGATTTGGGACGAGTGCTGGTTGGCACATCCAAGGCTTGTACCATCTGAGAAACAGAAATTAGTGCAACAAAGCAGGGACAGCATAACCTCACAGTGAAGCTTGCCCAAGACTATGGCAACATTCCCACCAGTAAGAAATCAACTGGGCATTCTTAAGTGACCTGGCTGTCAGACTCCCAGGCCAAGTTAATTGAAGAAGGAAAAAGTACCAAGTAAATGATTTTGGTCTCCCAATCATTTAACTGAACCTCTTGTACTTACTCTTTATCTTGCCCACGGATTTAATGTATTGAGCACGCATTTCTTCCAGTCCTTTCACAGAGCCACAGGATGAACAGGCATTTGAGACACTTCCCTTGGACAGCAACCTGAAAATAATACAAGTCACAAGGCCTAAGAGCAGCCCAGACCTTACAAACACCCCCTTGTTCATATTGCTTTTTGAAATACCTTGGTGACGTGCCCATGTCTTTCAGTTTAGCCTTCATCTCAGTGTTTTCTGCAATTAGAGATTCCACAAGCTTCTCGTTTTCTAGAAAAAGCCAGTAATGAACCATAAAACAATGTACTTCCCTACATTCAAACAGAGTTCAACATAAAACATCACAAACTGCTGCCCTAATGTAGAAGACCTTAACGTCAACAAGCATTCCCAGTAAACAATCAGCTGTGCCAGAGACAAGCATATAGGAATCGAACTCAGCACATTTTGCAGAAGTCTAAGTAAATGAACGTACTGGACTTAGCTTGAGCAGAACAACAACATGCAAG